CATGTCAATTTTCTGCAAGGCTGCGACCATTGCTGGACATGAGAATATGTAGGTAGGTGTTAGTTCCACACCAGGACAGTTGTTGCATGTCTTATAGGTTCTTGTGCCATCTGGATGTATTGTCATTCCTTTATAATGTTTCGTTCCGAGTTTTTAATTTGTTTTTGTAATTCTTTTCTAAGAGTTTATTTCACATATTTGATGACCACACCACCCTGCGGTCCCCCCTGGACCCTTGGAATATTTGACCAAATTCTGGTCCAAGGTGACTAACGTGGCACCCATTTTCCAATAAAAGGCAAAGCCGATATCTCCAAATATGTGGTGTATTCACAGTATAACCAGTCATAAATGTATACACAGTCTAATTATCACAACCTGGTACTACATGTAGATATGTGGTGTACTTGAAGTCATAAACCGATACTCAGCCTGATTACCATGTACTATACCATGCAATGTTGTAGTTTCCTTATGACAAAATATTGGCAATATCAGATTAACTCTATAATTTGGTGATACCTTATAAAAATATAATGATTAACTAAAGAAATTTTGTTAACAATTTCTAGGCAGACTTCAAAACAAAACTACCGATAATTACTTCGATAATATGAAAATTTTCTTTGAAAAATAATTTCTATATTTTACTCATAAGTCTCTTCGAAGGTGCCTCGCTTCCCCGGTCAAGTATCGCAGAGCAAAACAATCCATCTCACTTCTCGGCCAGTTTTTGTTCCGTGTCAACTTAAGACAAGTGTCAACCCATTTGTCATTCAGTAGGTCTGCATCTCAGGTTTTTTATGAGCTTCGTCAACCTTTTTTATTTTTGTATCCTAATAAGTGGAATTATTGATGAGAAATAACTATGGATGTAATTCAATTCGAAAACATTTTCATCAATACTTTTATTCTAATGTATATATATATATATATTATTAAAAATTATATATATATACCTCTCTCGTAGAAATACATTAGTAAAAGTAATAAGACAAAAGAACGTGTTTTAAAAATAAACAATTCGATGAATATAAATAACAAATACGATAAGATAAACAAAATTTGAAGGCAAAAAAATCTACGATTGCAAAATCGAACAAATTGAAAATAAATAAATCTATTAATATTTGGAAAATAAAAATAAGACGATACGGCGAAGCAAAAATAACGAAAAATTTTGTATATAGATGGCTATTTATAGTTAAGTATCTTGGGAGGAGATAGCTTCAAACTTTACAACTGAGAACTCTGTTAGCCTATTTTTTTTATCTATATAGATTATTATTATTATATATATTGTCAAAAAGCTCCATCCAGATGGGACACCTGTCAATCATCCCTGGACCCCGGGGGGACCACAGGTGTGAGGGGTTCTCGGAAGCTGATCTGCAAACAAGGAAAACGAGACCCCTTGGTGGCTGACGCCGCTAATTATTATTATCTTGACCTGGGGATAAGTTGTTTTGATCATCTCTCTCTCTCTCCCGTAAATACCTCTTGTATATAATTTTATTGGAGAACTAAAAGGTAAATACCAACCTTTATAATAAATTAATTATCCCCAATTTTGCCCTTGCTTTATTTATCTCCGCGACAATATATATACCCCTCTTTCGTAGGATGCTATGAAATCGTAACCGTCCCTGTACTGATGATGGCCAAACCAGAAACCAAGGTATACAGGCTGTTGGCTATTTGTCTCAATTATCCAAAACTGATGTTGTGACTTATTCTTTATTATCTCCAGTGAAATTTTTTGTACTAGGGTGATGTACAGTTCCATCGTTCTTATGTATAATTAAAGGGAAAGGTGTCTTTTTTGGTACAGTGGACCCTCGGTTTACGAGTACCTTGGAGTACGAGATTTTCGCAGTACGAGCAAAATTTTTTGAAAAATTTTACCTCGGATTACGAGTGAAATTTCGCATTACGAGCAACTCGTGATGGTTGCCCGTAATCGTGATGGATGAAAATTCACTGGGATCCCTCCCTTCAGATCAGATTAGGGAAATATGTAAAATGTGGGAAACTGTGCAATTGTTCGTAGCAAGAAGAATTGCCCGAGTTTCAATTATTAAAAATAAGAAATTAGTTTCGCACTACGAGCGTTTTGGAGTACGAGAATGGCTCTGGAACGGATTATGCTCGCAAACCGAGGGTCCACTGTATATATATATTAGAATTAAATATAATTTATATAAAAGATAGTTGTATTAGAGAAGGAGTAATGATAATTAAAAACAAATTATAAAAAAATTACGTTTAGGGTATCAAAAAGGTTTTTTTACTTTAAGTAACAACATAGGGTTATAACAAGTTAACGCTGTAGCCTCGGCAGTTACGCGTCATGTAACCAGAACATTGGAAAAAAGGAAGAATTGAAGATATTAGGATAAGAAAAAGAGAAAAGTCAGAACCATGTTTTATATACTATATAAGGATATTATAAGGTATTATACTCTCAATTCGACATCAACATTTTCTATAACTTTCTTTATATACTATAAAACCTTTATATATATATATACAGGTGACAGTATAATGTTTTGTCTATTTTTTCATACTTACAGCATGTGTTTAGGATTTTCCCCTTTCTATGAAAGGGATTTCAAAAAGGGGTTTGTGGAGGTTGGGGAGATGGTGTCAGGGTCTGAGGGGGGTCCAGGATTGCCAACCGCTATCTTACGTAATCTATCGCCAATCTCCCCAATCGAGGAATGTGGACATTTCGCCAGTACCTGTTTGTATTGGCTACAAAATATATTTGTCTTCCTAGCTACTTACCCCCATCTATTACCTCAAAACTTCCATTCTTGTTTCCTCTATTGCCATCTCAATACAAAAGTTCCTCATAATCGAATTTTCTTTCACAAGATTGTCCTAAAATTTCGTTAACATTGAAAAATTTAAATGGTTAAACCAATTCCTCAAGTCCACTCCTCTCCAATTTTGCGATGGAAGTTATAGGCCTGGAAAATATGTCCTCTACTATCTGTTCTGAGCATGATATGTTCCGGAGAAGCTTCCGCACTATTGCATTTCAATCAGTTATTGAAAGATTTTTGTCCATTTGTATAATGTCTTTGTATTATGTATTGCAGTAGAACCTCTCTTTAACAGACACCCCGCTAGCGGACACCTCTCTATAAAGGACAGTTTTCATTTACAAAATTACCATTTTTACTATTTAGCAACTCTCTGGTAAGAGGACACCTCTCCCTAAAAGACAATTTTGCTCTGCAATTAGGTGTTGTCCTTTACAGGGAGATTCTACGGTATTATGTATTCGCCGTAATAATATTATTCGCCAAGTAATGAGAAAACAACGTTTTAAGAAAAACACGAACTTTTGGGACAATCTTATAGAATCGTTTAAGATTTGTTCAAAATAGTTTACATTCCGTATTTACAGTAAAATATATATAATATTTGTCTCAATACTCTAGATTTTTCAATAATAATAATTATTTTTCTGTGGGCCCACCTCCATAGCATATAAGGTTAAAAAACTAAGTTAGAGATAGTGGACATTGCGACTGCTGTGATAGAGATGCATGGAGATATCAGAGGCTCTTCACTGGACACGACAACAACAACAACAACAACAACTAAGTTAGATAACATTTGCCTTATATTTCAATCAAATACAAACGTTATCTGATATTTTAGTCAACATTTGAAAAACCATTATTATGTGGATTGATTGATGAGTGAAAGAAACATTCACGTCTTAATGTTTTCATTTGATGTATAGAGATGGCGCGTTATTGCCTTATATTATACGGTTGTCCCAAAAGCTCCTGTTTTTCTTATTACGTAATACGTAATAAAACATAATACAATCACTTTATACATAATACAAAGACATTGTACATAACAACGAATAATATTGGTATACAATTTTTGCAAGTGTTTACGAACTTTTAGGATAACCTTGTAATTATGTGTATTATTTATGATCTCCTGAAATTACTATTAAATTGTCTGTGAATCCCGATATACATGCTAAAAGGTACAACTTATTTTAAGTTTTGTCCATGAGTGTAAGTAATATATTTTATATATATTGTTCTGAAAATAGAGCAATCCATACTGAAATCATTAGATAGTAAAAAGGCATATATTGGATTGAATAAAATATTTATTTGCCAATATTTCGGTTGGCTGAACACCAACCTTTATCGAGGCATTACATTTTTGTATACACAAACTCAGCGCCGTTTAGTGTTATCACTACGCTATATGGCGCTGAGTTTGTGTATACAAAAATGTAATGCCTCGATAAAGGTTTGGCGTTCGGCCAGCCGAAATATTGGCAAAATAAATATTTTTTTAAATCCAAAATATGCCCTTTTTTTATCTAATATATATGTGTGTGTGTATTAAAAAAAAAAAATGCATATCCTGACCGTGATCACATGGAACATTTCTAGATAGCAGAGCGCCATCTAGTGTAACAAAAATCAACTAAACGTTTATTTAACTTGTTTCCTGATATTTGGTCAACCGAATTTCTTGATAAATCAAGAAAAGTCAACCACGAACGCGTTTCGGGCTTTTGGCCCTCATCAACGTGGTGCAGACCATATATATCAAATCTCTTTCGATATCGGTTATCAATAAAATATTGCCTCACAACTTTCTAGAATTAATTTGCATAGATTTCCTTAATTACATAGTATAAATACCTAATTATTATTACAAAGAAATAGCATTTAAATTACATAACGTCTTCAAATGAAATAAGTAGGTGTGTAACCAGTATTTGCGGATGATAATAGCGAATAATTCTGTTCATTAAACATTAACACATGAAAAGAATCCTCTGTATTGTATAATATATTATTTAACGTGTTTGTTTATATATGAATATTGAATATTTTCTGTCAATTTATGTATAGCTTCTCCAGAAAACCCTTTCTTGCTTATCTCCCCTTATTTGACACATTATATTGTATAAAAATCACTTTATATAATATTTACGAACGGAAAAATATGTCTAGGGTAGCCTAGTGGACATGGCATCTGCCCGGTAAGCGGAACAATGTGGGTTCGATTCCCATCCCTGGACACTTTTATTTTTCCGTTTATTATTACTCTTTACAATTCATCCTCTCATACTTCATCCCTAAGGTTGGAAATAATCGCTATTTCTCCTTAAAATAAATTTCGATTTTTCGTTCAAAAGAAACACATGCGGGATATTTTCAAATGTCGATTATTGTAATTATTACTGTTATTCCTGTATATACTCTCTTCTACTCGGAGAATCTGTACAAGACCAAAAGGTCTTAACAGGGACTTTTGTTGTTGTCATTACTATATTCTTGTATGTACCCTCTTCTACTTGGAGAATCTGTATAAGACCAAAAGGTCTTAACAGGGACTTTTGTTGTTGTTATTACTGTTATTCTTGTATGTACCCTCTTCTACTTGGAGAAGCTGTATAAGACCAAAAGGTCTTAACAAGGACTTTTGTTGTTGCTATAACTGTTATTTCTGTATATACCCTCTTCTACTTGGAGAATCTGTATAAGACAAAAAGGTCTTAACAGGGACTTTTGTTGTTGTTATTACTGTTATTCTTGTATGTACCCTATTCTATTTGGAGAAGCTGTATATTACCAAAAGGTCTTAACAGGGACTTTTGTTGTTGTTATTACTGTTATTTCTGTATATACGCTCTTCTACTTGGAGAATCCGTATAAGACTAAAAGGTCTTAATAAAGCTTGTTGTTGTTGAATCTTTTTTGTGATGGTTCAAGCGATGTGTGTGGGCACAATTTGTATTCTAGGTGCAAATAAAAAAACACAAACTTTACATCACTTGAAATTTCATATTGTCATGTTTGGGAATTTTGTAATTAATTTTACACTGATTTTTGAATATAAAATTAAAAGGTCATTTTTATCATCATTATATACAATGTATATTTTTACAAACAAACGATAATATTTAAAAAAACAACAAAACAATTTAAATTACATATTCCTTATTTATAAAACAACAACAAGCTAAAATTAATACAGTAAAAAAAAACATATTTTAAAATTTAAAACAGAAACGTTACAGTAGAACCTCTTTCTGAAAGACACCTAGTTGCAGAGTCAAATTGTCCTTTCGAGACAGGTGTCCTTTTACAGGAAAGAAACTAATTAGTAGAAATCATAAATTTGGATGAACAAAACTGTCCTTTGTTGAGAGGTGTACGCTAGCAGATTGTCCTCTCATGGAGGTTCTACAATCCCGTAAATTTCTGTTAATAGATAGCTTCATTATATACTTGTCGAATCTGTCGTGGTCGAATGGAAGGGCGCAGCCGTTGTGCATGTATGCTTCGAAAAAGAACTTGTTCCATACTCGTGAGCGCGCTCGGCGGTGTCCGTAGCCTTCTCCCGCGCGCGCTGGCTCCTACGTTTATTTTGTACAGATTTATAGATGGTTGAATTTGTATTTTCATTTTAACATATTAATTATGGCGAAAATAAATTATATATTTTGGGCATTAGGCAAATTATGACATACATTTACATAGAAATTACCTTTATAAAACATATCTAAAAACAAACAAAAAAAAACAATATATTTAAAGATTAAAAATTAAACTTGAGAAAACTACTGGGAGGGTTCAACATGAATGACTTAGCAAGCTAACATCGGAACGTATAAGCTAGCAATCAGCTAGGAGCAGGATATCCTATGGGGAGAGATAATAGACATCTTATATATAACTGTGATTAAGACGATGAAGTACAGTAGAATCTTTATGAATAGACACTCGTTTTAAAATACATTTCTATAAAATAGATAATTGATATATACTCTTCATTTTTGACGGCCACAAACAGTGATCGAATCTCAAATTGGACACTTTTCAAAAAATATGAAATTGCTTCAATGACCACCGATTCTTAAAAATTTCCAACCACACAAATGAATGCAAGCTAACCAACGTAATTCTGGCACAATTATAAGTTCAAAAGTCGAACTGATTGCTACAATACATTACAGTTGTAGACATGTGGTACACTTGTAATAAAACAGTCGCTAATAACCACCATGATTATAATGGCCTGCACCAGAGGTACTAGAAAAACTACTAATTATAATTTTTAGAAAGAATTTTCATTGCTTAATGACAATTTTTTTTATCAATTATCTCCTTTTCCAGTAAGAGGTAATCTCTTACTAAAGGACACCATGGCTAGGTAACTAGATAGTGTCCTTTAGATGGACATAGGGGGTCGGTTGAAGGATGGTTTTAACATTTGTTTCGACCGCTACGATCCGAATTCGATTCTCGCATTGGACACTTTTTTATGATAAAAAAAAAGCTCTAATGGCCTTGATTCTTGAAAAAGTCCAACCCCACCAGCGAGTGCAAATAACCAAATGGGAATCTGGCACATTTGTAAGTGCAAAAGTCGAATTGCTTTTTACATGTATAGATATGTGGTGCACCTACAGTAAAAGCAGTCGCCTACTTCTACCCACCATGATTACCATGGCCTGTACCACGTGTACATAGACATAGGTTCTAATGTATATCCCATAGTGCTAAGTACCAATAATATTCATACTTATAATTTATATAAAACGACGAGATATTTCTATTGGAATTTTTCCGGTAGGCCTAAGAGCAGTTAAGATAATCGAAGCTATAAATAGATACGATTGTGAAGGTTGATTGCCTGTACTGTCGTTTTGTATCAGCGCTAGAATGATTTCGTCTTTCTATTGATTAATGATAATCATTAATGATTGGCCCAAACCATTTGTATTATTGTTTTCATCATTAAATACACCAATGAACAAAAGGAAGTTGTACCTTTTTAGCAAGTATATCGGAATTCAGGCAATAACTATGAAAGATATTTGATACAGTGACCATTATTGAAGTCACACGAGATAACCAATATACACTTATAGACAAAACTTAAGAAAGTTGTACCTTTTAACATGTATATCGGGATTCAGACAATAACTCTGAAAGATATTACAGCGACCTTTATTGAAAACACACGAGAAAACCAATATACACTCATAGACAAAACTTAAGTTGTACCTTTTAGCATGTATATCGGAATTCAGACAATAACTCTGAAATATATTTGATACAGTGACCTTTATTGAAAACACACGAGATAACCAATATACACTCATAGACAAAACTTAAGTTGTACCTTTCAGCATGTATATCGGGATTCAGACAATAACTCTGAAAGATATTATTCGATACAGTGACCTTTATTGAAGACACACGAGATAACCAATATACACTCATAGACAAAACTTAAGAAAGTTGTACCTTTTTAGCATGTATATGCTCTGAACTCTGAATGATATTTGATACCCAAGATATTTGATAACCAAGTGTGGACAAAATTGCATCTGTCTCCTTTAAAAAAAAATAGACATTTGGCGACGTCAAAGAGTTTCCATTTCTTTAAGTTTTGTCCATGAGTGGAGTGGGACGTCAGTGATGGGACGGTTCGTTAGACATTATGTTGATTTGAGATAATTATCTCTAGTTCGAATCCGATCGTATTGACCTTTTTTTTTCCAATATCGCTTTAATGGTCTAAGATTCTGGTACAAGCTCAACTCTACCAATGAGTGTAGTTATCAAAAATAGGTTTTGACACCTTGTGAATGCAGTGTTAAACTGATTTGTAAATGTGTAGACTTGTGGTGTACTTACAGTACAAACTGTTAACATGAACAAACTGTTATAACCCTCTACCCACATTTATTATAATGGTCTGGTATTAAATATGTAGACCAGTGGTGAGCGTACAGTTCAAGCTGTCACAATCATCTACCCACCATGATTATCATGGTATAGTGTTACATGTATAGACAGGTTGTGTACTTCCAATACAAGCAGTCACAACCCTCTATCTACCATGATTATCATGGCCTGGTACTACATGTATAGACATGAGGTGAACTTACAGTACAAACTGTCATAACCCTCTACCCACCATGATTATCATGGCCTGGTACTCCATGTGTAGACATGTGTTGTACCTCCAATACAAGCAGTCATAACCCTCTATCCAGCATGATTATCATGGCCTGGTACTCCATGTGTAGACATGTGTTGTACCTCCAATACAAGCAGTACCAACCCTCTACGTACCGTAATTATCATGGCATGGTATTACATGTGTAGATATGTGGTGCAACTCCTGTAAAAGGAATCATACCCACCGTGATTACAATGAGCTGTATCAGATTTTCTTTGGACGGGGTGAAGATTAAAAACAAAATATAATATTTAAATAGACTCTATTATTTCATTTATACCACTAACTAAACATCCCACATAGATAATCAATGAGGATATGTGTGGATTCACATCTCTCCAGGCCAAATAGAGACATATCTTCTTATTTATTATGCTTATGAGGTGATACAGCAGCGTATTTACAATTAGAGAGGAGACAAAATGAATTAAATCTAGAAAAAAGAAGTGAGGACATATCGGTCATTAAAGTCTGAGAGGCAAGTCCTTCAGCCAGTTCAGGGCTTCCACCCACATATCTTCTAAAATTGCGAAATACATTTCTCACAATGAGTTTCTTTTTTATTACAAAACGCTAGCTTTCAAGTGATAATCGCTCTTCAACGGGCTTAATAAAACTTACAAGTAATATTTACAAAAACATACGCGCAGCGTGGATATTTACAACAACAAGGCTTTTATTATGGCCCATTGCCCTGTATGGATTCGCCACACAACAACAAAACAATACAGAAATTCCTCTCCCTTTCCCCTTATGCACGCGAGTCTTTGTGTGAAAAGGGATTTATTTACACATCTGTTCTAAAACTTTCCTCACTACCTCTTTTGTGTATGAATCTATTTACAATTGATCTGTAGAAATTATATAGTTCTATTGCTATATTTTTCTTTTCTGAAATAGTTCTCAGTGTCTTCAGTGGATTGCTAAATCTCCAGAAGGTGTTTTTAAGAGTTTTTTTCTCTTTATTCACCTAAATATTGGCATTCTAGGATATTTACAACTGAAATTTTAAATTTGTGAGAAAATATTTTGTAATTTTATC